ATAACGCCTGTAAAATAAGATCGAATAAAGCCCGAATCTTGTTGAAGGTCCTTGCAGGCGGTGGTGCAAATAGGTACATGGAAGAAGCAGGGTGCGAGACAAGAGGATACATCAATTGTAGAAGAAGAAGCATAATCGGCGATGGTGAGCCGATGATGAATGTGTTCATGCCCAAACATAACTAGGTCAAATATATTAACTTTATTTCCTTAATTGAATGAATTCAATTAAATCATTTCCTTAATTATAAGTACCAAAAGTCTAAAATACCCTTTAATGATTTAATTAATTCTTTATTATTTCTTGAATTGTCATTGGTGCATTTAGGCACACAATAGTTGCTAAAAACATTTGAACCTAACTCTCTCTCTCTCTCTCTCTCTCATATATATATATATATATATATTATATATATATATATATATATATATATATATATATATATATATATATATATATATATATATATTTGAGTATCCTTTGTCTCCATAATTATTTTTTTGAAGAATTAATATACGACTCCACACATATCTTGCTATTTCTACTCATTTGAATTTTAATAGTGTTGTTACCATCCATATCGTAACAATCAAGGATGTGAAGTCGGATTGATATGTACTTTTTTCCAACTTGTAGTTTAAAGTTTGTAGATGAATTTATATTATAATTTTTTTAATTTTTTCTTTAGTATTCAGTGAATTACAGATCCTGAAGTCGGGATATCAAAATTGAAAATTTTCAATTTTTTAATTATTTGTTTTTATACTTTATATTCTATAAAATGATAAAATATAAACATCTTATTTGTTTAAAATTGGATTGATATATAGTTTTTTTTTTTCCAAAATATAGTTTAAATTTTGCACATGATTTTAAGCTATCATTTTGTTAATTTTAGGCTTACAGTCTCTCAAAGTTGAGATATCAATATGAACAGTTTCAAAGTTCAACCTACTAAGTAGCAAGTAATTACCAAAAAATAATTAGTTTTTCTAGGTTTTTTCGGTTCTAAACTCACTTTACCCAGTTCCACCCTACCCACTGACGTTTCCGGGTTTTCCGGTTCTAGACCCACTTTACCTGAAACCGAACCGGAACCGGTTCTTATATACTATCCAGTTTCCGATCCTACAAAATCTGTTAACTTGTTCCGGGTTTTCCAGGTCCGGGTCCATCAGACGAGTTTGGAACCACTTTCATCCCAACTCTGATCGGTCTAAAGGAACTTCTAACTGCCACTCCACTTGCAAAACAACCACCAATCTACCACACTCAGGACAATTACACTTCGTAAAAGTTAATTTAATTTAATATATTATTAAAACGACAGCGGCAGCATGTAAAAAAAAAAAAAAAAAAGGTGCTTTCTTTTCAATTTTATGTGGTTCGTTTTTCAAATAACACAATCTAAAAAAAAAAAAAAAATCACCCACAAGAGAAAATAAAAGAAACGAAAAGAAAAGAAGGCTGAGGATGAGACAGACATGCTAGGACAAAGAAACAAAGAAACAAACGGGTGTTAGGCATGGTTATGCTTTTTCCTTTCCCTTGTGCAAATCCATATGTTTCTTGTCTTCCTTACTTTCATCAGTAAATCAAACAAACACTTGTTTCCAAATTCTGTTATTCTTCTTCTTTTTCATCAGCATCTCAAATCCTTCCATTCAACAACCTAAAACTCTCTTCCTTTATATGGCATTTCCTGTCAACAGTAACACATGATAAGTTTTTTTTTTTTTTTTTTCTCAAGAAAATGCGATTAACCTTTTATAATGAAAATGGAGAGGGAGAAAAGCAAAGTTTCTTACTGGAGGATAAGTTGGCATGTAGACCACCTGTCTTGGTTGACCAACAAGCATTTGCTGCCCATACTGCCATACATTTAGATGTCGGATTAGACTTTGGAGTTTTACAAGTAAATTAATGAAAATAAAGAGTGGACATACCTGTGGAGCATTTGAGTGAAAATAGGTCTGGGGGATTGCAAAGGTGTTCCCTGCGGACCAAATATAACAGGCTGATGGGCCGGAAATGCGGGTCCCATTCCCATCTACAGAAGTAAGTAGTTTACACAAAATTATCACCCACAAAATTAAAAAATAAAATTATAATTAGTCAATTGCAACTTACACCAATGCCAAGTGGCATGCCATGCATATGTGGAGGGTAGTAGAAGGACCCATCAGATACCGGAGGAGATGCCGCCCTTACAGGTGCTGCTGATGGAACAAAGCTCTTGGCATTTGGGTTCAGTCTAAATTCCTGGAATCATTTATATTAGTATGATATTTGGTATAATTGGTACAACGGTGTAGATATATTGAAAATAAAAAGTAAATGAATATGAACCTTTGCGTGAGGGTTCAATGTTGATTTCTCAGAGGTGAGAGAGCCCATTGATGAGGTTGGTGATAATCCAGGGGCAGGGGCAGGAGAAGCATTTCCAGATTCTGAAGCGGATGATGCAGAAGCAGAAGTAGCAACTCCAGGTTGTGGTGTCTTCACACCCTCTGATACTTGACTACAAGTAGAAGTTGAAGTTGAAGTTGTCTTTTCCTCCTGAGCTTTAGACTTAGATTTAGATTTAGATTTAGATGGAGGGGCATATGCAGTTGCAGTCGCATTCAGTCCCTTATCACCACTTTCACTTTCTTTTTCTTTATTTGACCACAGACTTGACTCTGTTCCAGGGAAGAAACATATTTATTAATTTAGTATTAGAAAAGGTAAACTTGAGGGTCTAGCATGAAGACAATGAAATCAGTTATTAGGAAACCAAAGTCACTTCACATATATATTTATTATCAGCAAAAAACTAACCCTCAGATTTTGAACCATGGCTTTTGCCTTTGCTCATACAACTGCATTATTAGTTAAACAGCAAAGTATTACTTACAAGAAAACAACAGCATATAGCAATCTAAAGAGTAAGTTAAGAGGTGAAATACTAAATCTACCATGTGCTTCTCTGTATCCGGATGTTGTTGACTAGTCTGATTATCTTGAATCCTGAACAACAACAACAACAAAACTTAGTGACAAACAATCCAATGTACATACATATAAATATAATGACACAATTTTTTGCATACCTGATCTCTACATCCAAAGGACCAGATGGATACAACTCATTTTCATTCACAACATCTCCAAAGGTTTCACTATTTTGTGAATCAAAAACGTCCTCACTTTCATCATAACCACTATCATCAACCCCCCCGCGGAAAACCGATGAATATTTAGTTTCTTCATCCAGGTCAAACTTATCATTAAAATGAATGCCTCTTTCCTAATTTTTTTTTTTTTTTTTTGAAAAAAAAAGGCATAAGAAAGAACTTACATACAAAAATAGTAAATGCCATAAAAACCATACCCGTACATACCTCGGCTAGATGAAGATCATGGGTGTCCTCACCCTCAATTTCCCTGGCAATTCTTAATGCTTCCCTTTCTAATTCTCTCATTTGAGGACCTCTATCAAGCTTTGTTGTGTACAGCTCCTCATTAAAGGTACTCTTTACTCCAAATAACGCTGCATTTGCTTCAAATTGATCCCAGCCCCTAACATAGTTATCAGATCAGTAAAGTGGAGATAGATGATAGAACATTATCTAGAATCGGGGCTACGTTTTTTTCAGTTGTTAAATTATTTCTATTTTAAATCACTTATTAGTACCTCCCCCTACAAGGGGTTCTTTACATGAGTGTAAGAAGAAAGCACAAACATTGAAAAAGAAACTAGTGATTTTAAGCAGTACTTGTATATTTAATTAGACATGTAGCAATAGACATCCTTTCTCTTCTCCTCCCTACCATACACTGAATGAAGGTTAACATGTAGCACCTACATAATTATATGGTGTTCATTGACTCAGAGAAGGCTTATGATAGCGTACCACAGGGGATGAATGGAGGCTAAAAATGGAGTCTTTTAAGGTGAAAATTGGAACTTGCTCAGTCCATAAATCTTCGCTTTGATTATGGACTAGATTTCTTTAGAGGATTAGGGGTGCCATGATGTAAGGCTAAGTTGAATGCTAGGTTGGAAGAATGGGGTTGCAGATGAGTATATCCATCATGCAAAACATTAATGTTGTATGTTATCAAGGTGATGGGGTGGTATATGTAGTCTAGGTCTTGCTTTCCTTCCCACTGTTTCTACTTTCTGTACCTTATTTACCATCTTTCTCCTGTTCCATCTTTACTTTTGACTTAAAGAGATTATTTTCATAGATGACCTTTGACATATGAAACGAGAGCCCACCATGATGACCTTACCCCATTAATATTTGTTGTTGTTGTTCTTAAGAGTAGGTTCAACTAAATTGACTTTAACGATATAAAAACTAATGGGAGACTCTACCTAAGACCATGAACTAAGGTCAACATCCAACAACATCATTCACTACAAACATCAAATATGCTTGGCTAGTTCTAAAATTCACCCAATAAAAGTAGACTAGACGAATCAATAGTAGGAGATAAAGAACTTGGAACCTGTTCCAATGGCGATCAAATGTATTGTCCAATTCAGGGCATTCTGGATTATCATCATCAGGGACCCAAGGTGCCAACTCTCTTTCCAAGTCAACATGCCGCGATTGAGAAATAGAGGAATCTATCATAATGTCCTGCATTTCCTCATGCTGAACCTCATTCATCAACCCATCTCTAGTTACAGATACACTCTGCCCAATAAAAACACTTCATCAGTACTTATAATAATAATAATAATAATAATATAACCAAACCCACAGCAGCAATCCTAACACCTACCCATCTACCAATGGATACAAATACATTATACAACAACACAAGTAAGATGAAGGATTTACAACTAGATACTATTACAGACCTTAGCGACAATCTGCACAAGTTCTTTTGCGGGTATTATTAAGGTTTTAGATGGGGGCTTTTGAACAGAATCTGAAATGTTTTTCTGTCCTCGGGATGAACCAGCCTTTGTTACACGGGCCATTTTCAAGATTATTCCTGCAAAATAGGAATCAAAAAGGCATATCATATCGTTAGGGAAGTATGCATCAACCATGCAACAAAAATAAAAATACTATTCAAGGTACCAAAATCTTTTTCGGCATTTGTTGCATGAAAGATTCCAGAGAACACGGTTCCATCGATGACCTGGACTTCCACCTGATGCCCAATAAGGCATGCTGTTATATAAACTAGGCGATCCCGTGATGGGCTTTCAACTCCCCCTTTGTTTTGTTAACATGACAAAACTCAAGTTAGATAGAGAACATGAAATTTGTAAGACAATTAACTAGGAAAGAAAGTTAAACCTGAAGTTGTCACTCTGTTGAAGTGTGATTTTCCAGGCTGAGATTTATTGTCCACTCTAGTCCCTGTTTCTTTTTCACCTCTTCTACGAGTAAATCCATTTGCAGATGATCTGGGCTGTGCAACTTGTTGCGGGTTCATTCTTGAAAAGATCTGGGCTGTGCAACATGTTGAGGTTAGGGTTCATGTTATCAAATTTTTTAATAAGGCTGGAGACTCATGGTATAAGTTCCATGATAGTTGTCACATTATGCATTGCCTTCTATGCGGATCTTAATCAAGTCTGCACAAAAAAGGCATAAAGATCTGCTAGAAGACGCCAGAAAGACCATGTTTGTTTTGTAACCAAAGCCAACTAGAATCTAAGTGACTGTTATCCATACATAATAAGAGATCGAAAACCTTGATGATAAACTTGTGCTTGATGTCTGATATAGCATGCGTAATGACATGTACAACAAGACCATAGACCCTGAAATCTAAGTGAAAACATTAATCTGCTTTCCTAGAATTTGTGCTAAAAGATATGTAATTAGATAGACATCATCAGCTATGGGATACATTCAATATATGTAGATTAGCCACATCTACCAGTTCATCTTCGTTTTTAAGCCCAGCCTCCAGAAGGTAAGAAAGATCAATTATGGGCACAAAAAAAAGTATATATGTTTCAGGAAAATCAGTATCCATCGTAAAGTTAAGGGTCTATATTTTCTATTGTTCTAAACAACTTGTAGTTTAATATTCATAAAAGGAACCCAAATTGTTACTCACTGTGCAACTTAAGCAAAGAGAAAGCCATGCCTCACTTTGAACAATCAGTGATAGATCTATCTTCTATCCCTCATTTTTTTCAATTATATTCATCTGAATACTCAATCAATGTAATTACCTGTTCATTTGTCATGACACTGGCAAAACCTTAAGCCAGATTCCCAGATAGAAAATGTTGTGCACATTCTTAGCTTATATACATCTCATCGTAATTGTAAAACCCTAAATCATAAATGAACAAGAAAGACTCACTGGTTTGGCCATGGAAGACATCATGAAGAAAAAACCCTACCCAAATAATCAGATCATCAATGGCCACAACCTAACTTTTCATCATCATCATTCCCAGATCATAAACCTAATCTACTTCCCTAGTAAAAGTAAAACAAAATCACAGCCACCAACAAGAAATATCGTTCTCAAGTCTCAAAGATCTGCACCTGATTTTTTTTTTCTATTCTGAAGTTTAAAGATTAACATGGTTCTTTATTTGTTAAAGTTAAGGTATTTTCTGCATCTCCAAAGTTTGTAGAGCCTGTTGTTAAGTAATTTTAGTACAAAGTCCATATTTTCCTTTCAAACCTTCTTCAAAAGGATGATCCAAGAGCTTGTTCCAACTAACTATGTAATTCAAGAGATCCTAGTGTTTCTTTAGTTTGAATCTCTTGAAATCTAGTCCCTTAGTTGTTTTCCAATCCTTTATCTTCTCTAAAATCTATCCTCTGGCAACTTCCAACTTCCATGGGCATTATGTCATTTTAGGTACATTTAAAGGGCACCTTTAGTAGATTACATTTTGTTCAATATCATACAATTGCTTTGACAAAATTATCATTTACAAAAGGCCTGGATTTGCATTTTTTCACATAAACACCAAATCACCAACCATTCCAAATAAAGGGACTACAACAAAATATTAAGATTAAAAACCAATTATATTTAGGACCAGCAATCCAGTATCAGAGTTTCAGTAACAGCTAAACCCGCGTTTTACAAGAATTCAAAAATTCTTCACTTAGGCTGCTTAAAAGCAATGAAACTAATAATTCAAAAATATAATTGTATCAGAATCTTAATTCTAATATGTTTAAAAGTACAAAAACAATCATATGTTGTAATTGAACTGCTTATATTGAGACTGAAACATTGGCTTAATGGCTTAACTCCTGTTAAGGAGATAAAGCATCAGAAGATATCTTGATCACCTCACTATGCTCAACAGTTTATCACTGCATTTACCCAGTAAACTTTAAAGAAACTCTTTGTTCAGAGTTTATCTCTAAGTAACTAAACATCCTTCACACTTATGACTTACCTAAATATGTTTGATCTTTCAATCTCCAGGAATTTGTTAAGCAAAATGAGAAGCGACATGAGAAATCACAAGTGATATTCCATGTGAGACACTAAAACCAAAATGTGTAAAGTTGCTGCATACTATGTTGGTGATTAAATAGTCATATATAAATAATTAAGATGAAGGATATTCATTTTGTAGCATACAAGTGCAATAACACCATAACTAGTTCACTCACCATGGACCATATGTCAAAGTCGTTTAGCTAATTTATTTTCAAAATGGAGTGATACAATTCAAGATTGGGTTGGTGAAGGAAAACATATCACTATTTGCTAAACAATCCTCTTAATCCTACAATGATAACAAACTCACAAAGCACGACTTAAGTTCCACAAGCATCATGAAGATGTATAACTTCTGAATCCCGCAATAATACAAAATTCCCTTTTTAACAACAATAGCAACTTCCATTTATTTTCTTCTTGGGGTTTCTATCTTAAAGAACTGAGTGGATTAATGTGAGCATCGTTTTTAGAAAAGGATAGAAACTTGGTCATCTTTCCAAGCTTCTTGTCATTCAGCACTTACCGTAGACAACTAGAGATGCAGGTAGCTGCTTCAAAGGCAAGGTGATTATACAATAACTTGGGGCACACACTTATTCATAATCCCCTATTTTAGAACCCTAGAACTCCCATGATCTTCTTCTTGGGTTCTTAAATCTTGAAAAACCCATTCGATGAGAGATGTAAGTAAAAACCCTAATAACTAGTTACAGCAAGCGTTTTAATTCTGGTAGAATCATGAAATAGAGCCAGCAGACTGTAACGCGTGTAAAAACACAAAACCCCGCATCGAATTTGCGGCATCTAAGCTGCATGTAACCGATCCACGCAATTTTACAGACTTACAGTACATATCCACACGCAATCCACTATAAGAAAAATCATTGATCCAAACAATTCATCTAATAAATATGCATGACAGTGTACATGAATATACTAAGATATATGCACACGTACGCGTAAAGCAGTAGAGGGGGTGGGAAATGGAAATAAGGCTTACCGGAAAGATCTGTGAGGCAAGGAAGTAAAAAGTTGATCAGAAGAAGAAAGTGCGTTGAAAGAGGAGGATCTTGGTCGTCGTGATGAGAGATCGAGAGCACCGGCAATGGTTGAAATCAACGAACGATTCTCTCTTTTGTGGACTGATTTCTCGGTGGAAATTTGAAAATAACAGAATGGAACTTCAGCGAATAGAAGTAGCGTGTGATCATTTTTCCCCCAAATTTACCCACCAAAGGCTTTAGGTTAGGTTTTCGTTTACCTCTATTTCGTCATACCCAATTACCCACACGCTCACCCTCTCTGAAGGCGCGTGGTATTTTCTACCTTCTTTGCTAAATAGAAATTTTATTTTTGAGGAGAAAATTACAAATTCAGGTTTTTTTTTTGTTAACTATTTTACAAAAAATAATTAAAAATTAGTATTAGACAAAAATAGTCATTGAAACCGAAAATGAGTTTAACGTGCATGTTGTTTTCTGTCTCGTTTATTGTTTCGTAGTAGTCTATAAAAACCCACGAACCGCAAATTGTTTAGACCTTCTGTGGTTTCCTCTCATTTCAACTGTTATTTCGTTCATTCCTCGTTCCTGAGATTCCAAAGAACGAAATCTCAAATTGGCATATATGTCATTTGCTACTTCGTTTCCTCATCTACTGTTTTGATTTTTTTGTATTAGATGTTGATTACGATTTCATACCTTTTGATAAAATATAATTAAGGCATAGCACATAACAATGTTTAAACAAAAAAAGAATCGGGAAAAAAAGAACAAACTGCACATGATAAGCCATCTACGGTATACAAATTTTAATGCACATTTTATGCATCAACGACTTGTACACCGCAGATGGCATTGACATCTATGTTTATATTCTTTCTTTCTAGATTTCACATTAAATGATACTACATAACAAGAAAATAAAACTATGTATAACACTATCAAACAAATTGTTTTTGGGAGCCTCCATAAGAGAAAATTGTGTACTTCAAATACCCGAAAATTGCCCAAAAATGATTTTTTGAACTTTATATATTATGTGTTGATGGGTTGCGAAACAGCATCCCTTTACACAAAACATCAAGCAAGCCCAGTAAACTAACTACCAAACAGCAGAAGATGCACGAAGCAGCTGGCAGGTTAACCTCATATGCGATTTTTGTGACTATTTTTTACTACTTTTTGCAAAATGATTAAGGAAAAATGTAGATTTATATTTCTCCTTTTAGAATTAAAATAAATAAAAATAAAATAAAATAACCATTATTTTGGTTATTTATGAATTTCAATATTTTATACGAAAAGAACATTCCTGATCTGGAATTCTATAGATATCCGTTTATGTTTTTCTTTTTAAAGGCAAATATAAACCTACTCTATGTATGTTTCAAGTGGGACTTTAACAATCCACATCATGAAAGAGCACACACCATACTGCTAAGCCAAAGGTATATGCCCCTTTGTTTATATTACATAATGGAATTGAAACTCCCACCACTGTTAAAACTCAAACCGTTGACCATTCCTAAAGTAATAGCACCTAGAAACCAACTGCGTGCACCATGCAACACCAAATCAGGGATATAAAAAAAAAAAAAACAAATTTATAGCTGTTTATGGAAACATGTCACAAAATAATACACCCAAAATACAAATTTCTAGTTTACTAATATACATGGGGACAATCTAATCCCTCACATTACACATTCCATGTTAACTTAATATAAATTGTTTCGTATAGGCAAATGTTTAAATGTTTCACAACTTCAAATTGATTTTCTCGGACCAGTCAAATATTCCCGTATACACTTGATCGCCTCCCAGTTCTTCACCTGTGGCCCCCGCCGCAACCCTTATAACATCTTCAATCAATTGAAAGTTCCCCATGATATCCACGTGGGCCCCACTCAGTGTGCCCCGACCCTCAAGAAAGTTAGATGGAGGGTTGTGATCGTATTCCCTAACGTGTGTCTTGATTCCGGAAGGATTGAATCGGGTTTTCCCACGCCACCCTTTTGCACACATGAATCCTGCACTTAATGCGGGAACTGTTTCATCCCCATCAACTGTATAAACTCCATCTTTTAAACAGCAGTCCTCGTTTTTATCCTTTGCTGATGCGTCAATCCGGAATGGAATGTAGCATTCCGCTGCAGGAGTGAGTTTGTAAATATATGCTCTTTCGGTTGGGATTCCGACTCCGTACATCGAATAGATCTCCATGTCGGGAGCATTTGGTAACCTGAAAAAACATCAAAGAATTATGCAATTGAAAGTGCTAATTCTTAAAATAAAAGCAATGTTTGACTTCAAACATGCTTGAATAAAAGTATTTGATGACTATATTATTAATTAGAAAAATGAATAAAATGTGTTGTCAGTTCGACCAACATGACCTGTATTAAAGAGAGCTAAATGCAAGAAATAGGAATATACTTTGATTTATTTGTGTTTCAACTTTCAAAAAAATTCTTATTTAGACATTGTACTTTGAAAATTCTACCTAATTATAGCATCGTACTTTCAGGTTTTTTTCTTCACTATACTTGTATTCAATTATAGCAATGAAAACTATTGCCTTTACATGGTATTGCTATAATTGGGTAGACTTTTCAAAGTACAATGTTGTCATGAATAATAGAAATATGATGCTATCATAAACAAATCAATGATAGTATGCTGCTATATTTTGCATTTAATCCTAATTAAAATTACCAATTTGGCACATTACCAAACACAACCCCCATTTGCCACCTCTTACAACCACAAATTGTAATTTTGAATCAAGATACTTCCAAAAAAAAAAAAGTGAAAGACATTTATTTTGGAATGGAAAAAGTGCTTGGCCACATTCACATTGGACAATAATTGAAGTCAAAAGATCATAAGATAACAAAAGGAAGCTACAAGAATCTTACTTGGTCTCCAACGGGTTTGACCAGTATTTGTAATGTTCATATTTGGGGTCGTCTAAATCCTCAGCAATACCAAAAGAAAAATGAGCACTCCCTCGTTCCATCATTTTTGGGGCAACAAATTCCAACATATCCACAATCTCGCCAGCTGTATAAACTTTGTACTCAGCAACAGCCTTAATACCCCCAAATCCCATGTCATGGTACTCAGTCCACACGTCCCGACAAGTATGATTTGCCACACTGTTACCTTTCACCGCACCCTAAACACCAAAAACTACCTCAGTACATATGTATGATTTGGTGATCATAATAACATGTCAACTGTCGGATGAAGAATACAATCATCCGGCATCCGGATGACTGCCAATCATCCGACGGATGGTTGAAGTCATTTGCCAGATAGTTGGGAAAAGTATCAATAGCCTTACCCTAAATTCTATCCTCTCGATTTCAGATGATTGTGCCTCCGCTACATCTCTTCCAAATGACACCATCCTACCATAATTTGCGTGTGTTGCTTCACATTCTTGACTTGTTGACTCGTTTTCCGTGACATTTTTCCCGTTCTTTCTCTTACTCGGACAATATCCTTCTTCAGGTGACCAATCAAGGCCACCCCAAATCGTGTCCCCCCCTTTCGGTATCATGGACATGGTTGAATCCCACGTGCGACTCATTCTCATCAAATGTTGCAGCGTTTGAATCTGAAATAAATCCGAGTCCAACACACCGGGTGCAAGTGCCCTACACGTCAATGTTGTATCTTGTAAGTCTTGATAGTTTTTTATGGTTTTTTATCAGATATAATGTCTAATATATATATATATATATATATATATATATAAACCTGGCAGATGCAATATCTTTGGCTTCAGCAGAAAAAAGGCCAGCTACAGCTTTTGGGACACCTAAGAAAGGTCCGCCGATGTTCATCACTGCCTTTATGTGTTTAGCACACCAATCTGGTCCACCACCACCACCCATCGGAGCTGGTGCTTCCACCCATTTCATGAAATGCAAAAAGTAAATAACACCCATTGAATGTGGAATCACAACCGCTTTATTGCCACCATTTGTAGCAACCATCAGTTCTATATTGCTCTTTATCCTGCTCAAAGATTGGTCTCTTACCTGAACACCATAAAATTCCATGTCTTAGTCTATATGACAATGAGAAAAGTAACAGGAATTAGTAATTACACATGAAAGAAATCCATACTTCTGTATTTTGAAATGAGAGCCTCCAGTCATATGCAGCCATGTACATATTCTTCTCTTCATACCCAACACGAGCTAAGTTAGCTATCAAAACAGCCCATACAAAATATCCTGGAGCAAAGTAGTCAGCAGCTACAAGTCCACTCACGGGTCTGACCCGGATACCCGGCGGATCCATCCCTGTTTTGTTGTCCAGAGACATATGTTGCACCCAGCATGATGGTCTGCAAGATAAGCATTACAAGAACCCATTCATATGAAAACAAAAATTATTCTATTCCTATTCGATCGATTGAGGTTGAATTCGATTTCAGTTTCCAACAGTGTAAAATATGCCAGAATTTGCCAGATAACATGTAGATGATGATGATAGCGTATACGTCTTGCAAGCAATTGAAACCCAAAAGGCCAAAAGTGTCCAATATTCATAGATCAGAAGTCAAATCTTACTCTGTATTCCTTTTTTTGGGTAATTTCGTACGTTGAAGAAATTAGATCTTCAGCAATCAATCAAATCATTGAAGAAGAAACAAAAAACGATGGTGAGGTAGGTAATACCTCTTATAGACTTCGCCAAACGTCCCACCCCAAAGCCTCTTTCGGAACAAACCATCCATACACTGATGCCCCTCCCATAGTTCAAGTCCACCGGTTACAATCCCCGGCACAAACACCACCGGATGCTTCACCTTCAAACCTTCTTTCAAACATTTAACACCGGGAGGATCCGGCATAGGTCCGGTGATTGCCTCCGTCACAAACTGCGGGAAAGAGGCAGGCATCGCATTGTATAGAAACAACAACAGCCACCACGCCGTGCACACGCATCCTACAAACCAACAGCAGTTATCGAGGCACGAATAGTTCTTGCTCTTTGACTTTTTTAGTGCCTTTTCTTCCTTATCATCGTCTTCGTCTGGCTTCGTATCCGGAGGCTGCTGTACTTCGTCTTCTGGTTGCTTCCTTCTCCGAGTCACCGCCATTATTGCTTCAACTTATATAAATCAGCAAATAGACAACAAATCATGAACCACGGAGTTGAAAGTGTTGGTGTAGGCCACCGTGGTTTGGTGGTCCGATGGTCGCACAGAGCGGTGATAGCGGCGGAGACATGGTTGAGGAAATGTGTGGAAGCTTAATAGGATTGGGTAGTCGCGTGAACCGGCGCTGTCGTGGGTCCAGCGTGGGAATTAATTAAATGATTTATCCTAAAAAAAGAAATATATGCCCGGATTTCAAAAGTTAAAACTTTTTTCCTTATTATTATTTCGAAATGTATGGAAATGTGTGGAAGATGATATATCCTCAAAAAACATTCATTTAATGATCGTGTTATTAAAAAAAAATTATAAAAATAGCTTCATCTCTTGATTATTTTGTGAAAAAACAAACTAAAAATTTTCAAATTACAAAAATAACCACCGTCTATGATTTTATTTATCCATCTACGAACGTACAAATCGTTAAAACATATCATTTTGTATCCATATGTTATTTCCCCTTTTTTAAGGGTATAAAAACGAAGTTTTTTTTCTTTTATTTTTCAAACTTTTTGTTGGAAAACTCACTTTTTATAGATACTATGACGATTTCATTTTTCAAACTTTTTATTGGAGAACTCTATCTCTATAGGCATTATGGACGATTTTATTTTTCAAACTTTTTGTTGGAGAATTCATTTTATTAAAGAGGTTTTAAATAAACCCTATCACTTTCATAGTAAAATAATTTAAAATAAAAAATAAAAAACACAAAATCGCAGGTGGGATGAGAGGAAATCGCAGATTTTAGTCAGAGATATGGGTATTTATACGGAAAATATCAGGAAAAAAAACTCACATGTAAACGTACAAGTTGCTAAAGCACAGTTGTGTATTAACGACTTGTACGTTCGTAGATGAAATGTTAAAATCGCAGATGTGCTTAATTCATACGCGATTTTCATGACTATATTTGTAATTTGAATTTTTTTTTTTTTTTTTTGCTATTTTCTACAAAGTAATTAAATGATTGTGTTATATTTGTAATTTTCCCTTATAAAAATAGATTTATGTTTAAATTAGGACTATAAATAAAGACGATTTGATCATATTATAAAACTTTATGTTTGATAAATAATCTATTGAAATCGATCTTAAATATTAACAAATAATAAGGTTGAAATTTTCTAATATTGATTTAAGTCGAGATCATATATGGTTGATAATTTATTATAACTAGGGTTTTGACCATCCGCGCGTTGCTGCGGAAGCTCCGATATGTTAAAAAACGCAGTTTGACACCATATATATAATGAAGACGATTAAATCATATAAAATGGAGCACAAAAATATCAAAATAAAACATGGATACAAACCAAAATGTAACTTTAACATATAGTAAGTGACAAAAGCTAATAAATTAACTTTAAAATTATAAGGGTTGAAAACTGTTAAATAAAAATTAATTAAGGAGAAAGAATATAAATATATATAAATTTTAAAATTATAAGGATAAAAATTGTTATATCAAAATTAGTTTAGGGGTACAAAATATAAAAACAAATAAAAGTAAAGGGTGGAAAATGAAAAAAAAATTTAAGGATAAATATTGTTACATAAAAATTAGTTAAGGGGTATAAAATATAAAACAAATAAAAGTAAAGAGTGGAAAATGAAAAAAAAAGTACATCAAAATTAGTAGGGGTACAAAATATAAAAACAAATAAAAATAAAGGGTAGAAATTGAAAATAAATATTGAAAGTATGAAATATGATATGGAATGAATAGTAAATCCTCACACATACCAAGCTCATGAGTTGGTTTAGGTTGAGTTCGGGTTCAACTTATTTATTCATTGGGTTGAAATTTTCAATTTTACTTAATTTTTTTATTTAAATGGGTTGATATTTTCAACTTAACTCAATCTTTTAGATAAATAGGTTGTCAACGTGTTGATTTGTTTATATAGTTTCTTATCCAACCTATTAAATAAATTGGTTAGATTTGTGATAACTCATTTAAAATCAAAAAGTAAAATAAATTAACTAAATACTACACCACTTGAATTAGTTTCAATCATAAATAAAATTCAAAGTATGAGAAAAACATAATTTCAATTCACAAATATAAATAAATTGTTCAAATACATTAAACATGTTTATTTTCAAAGTGATTGTGAAGAGTGATTAATATTGTCGGCGCTACAAAAAAATGATAGGAATTAAGATTGCATTTTTTTAAAACATAAACAACAGCATAAAATTATAATTAATATATTAATACTTTGATTAATATATGATGATATTCAAATAATTATTTAATTAAATATGTATTAAAGTTAAATAAGTTGGTGTTTGTTTGGTTGAAAACGAGTTGATAATTTTTATCCAAACCAACCTATTTAATTAAGTGGATTACGTGGATTGATGCAATTAACTTAAATATGTTGAAAATCTCAATCTAACCTGTTATATTTGGATTGTGTTTGTAGGTTGAGTTGATTTTTACCGTCTCTTAATTAATAATGTTGTAAAAACTTAAAACATATTATGTTATATTCTTTTAATATAATGTTATCTCCTTGTTCTAATAAAAAAAAATAGGTTTATTCTTCTTTTGTCATGTGTTCCCATATTAGATCATCTCCAACCCACTTCCATTTTCCCCCCAAAAATGGAGTAAAAAAATATGATAAATAGTGTTTCATTTCCAACCCTACTTCATTTTTTACTCTATTTTTACCCCCAAAAATATATTACATTCTTCTAACTTATATAAATTGTTAAACACATCCATTTTATTAATTTGTTTTAACAAATATATAATCTATATTTTTTTCATTGTAATAATATAGAATAAATAAGATTATATTTATAACACTTAATTATAAGCTTTTGTAAAATACGTTATCGTGTTTTAAAATTTCAATACGTATTTAAATTTTGTTATGAATTTGGTAAACAAAAACAAACTTTATATTTATAATTATTTAATATATAACACAATATTATAAGTATTAAACATTACATTTAAATTATAGTTAGTAGATAAAAAAAAAACCATAAATGTATAAATATATAGAAAGAGAGACTAAAATCGGCAACTCAAAGTCCATTCTCATTTTAAGGGAAATGAATAGGAATGGTGTTATACTATTCATTTCCCCAGAAATGGGGTAGGGCTAGAGAGGAATAGGGAAATAAATGGAAAATGAGAGTAGATTAGAGATTTTAATTAATATAATATCACTTGTCAACCTATTGATCTCTATTTCAAATCTTAAATTTTATTTTTTTCACTCCAATTATATTAAATTAATAACATTAGAATAAAAATTAAAATAAAACTAATACATATTATAGGATGATATAATTTCATGTATTTATTTAAATCAACGATTATAATTTTATATAACTAAAAAAATATATCTTAATTAATAATTTATTTAAAATAATTAATTAATAATTTAGAATTTTTACTATAAAAGTTTAATTAATTTTATAATCATAGCTTTCATAAATTTTAAATTTGTTAGATAACCAAATATGAACATTGTGGCTTTTGTTTAATTTATGATCGTTACAATTGACATTTATCTATTAGAAAGAAAAGTTATAAAATATATTTGTTGAACTATTAATTGCGAAAGACATAAATCATCCTTGTACTTATAAAAAAAAAGTGCAAGTTATTAAAAAAAACAAACAAACAAATGAAAAACAAAACAAAACAAAATCTTTAGTTTGTCAGTTTTTGTCGATTTTAACTAAAGTCGTATTTTGGTTCCATTAATGTTTCAAATTTGTAACTTTTTTTAATTTTAACATTTTTGCAAATTTATCTGATAAAACTGAAATTTTATGTCAAATTTAAGAGCTTTAGTGAACCAAAAAACCAAACTTAGGATTTTTATTAACAAAAAAAGTAAAATTGAACATTCCTACTAAATATAAAGGTTTTAATAAACATATGGTAAATTGAACAAAAAAATTGCAAACATCTGGTTTTAATGAATTCAAAATTCGCAAAATAATAAATTGACAAAAACTTGCAAGCTTGAGTGTTTTTATGTCATTATCTCATACCATTTCTATCGCCTATTTCATCGTTATAATTTCAATTTGTTTTGAATCAAGTTTATGTCTTTTTGCATTGTTTATTTTCTTTTGTAAATGGGTGTAAATTATTATTTTACCCTTAAATTTATATATTTCAATCAATTATTTGATATATTTGTTGATATGCGGCAAACCCTAAAAGATCATGAAATTTACTAATTTTCAGTCAATTATTTAATATATTTGTTGATGTGCACCCAACCTTAAAAGACCATTAATCTACTAAACCTAAGGTCGCCCACTCGTCTTGCTCTTTTAAACTGTCACCATCATTTAACTTCATGTAACGTTCCAAAAACTACAATGAGATTTTTAATTTTTAAGATAGATTAATCAATTAAAACATTTTACTTGAAAACAATAAGTGACATTCATTTGTTTACAACCATAATGTTATCGGGTTCAAATTACAAAATACAGAAACAATAAACGAACATTTTCGTTGGGCTCTTCTTACGAACAACCTGCAAGACATTTTATCCATAACTGTAAGCATAAAGTTCAATGAGTTCCCCATTATACCACATATTCCATCGTACATACAATGTATACAAACAACGATCCCGGTTTTAACATCAACCCATCAACATACATACAATGTATATAACAATACATAACGTGTGAATCTTATGGTCCTCCCATAGTCTTACAATCACTTATTGTTGTAGTACTCCTGCAGTCTTATTTACTATGGTCCTCCCATAGTCTTACAATCACTCTTTGCTACAGTCCTCTTGCAGTCTTATTTGCTATGGTCATCACATAGCCTTACATACAATTGTCATGTTCCTCCCACGGTATTCCATGCAATTGCCAAGGGTCAAAACCTGGTCTTTCATATAACCCATAAACTCATATGTAGTTAAGGATCAGATAGACAGTCAAACAGATAATCCACCCGAGAACAAACAATCAGACAAGAACATCGCAATCAAGCATTAGACCAAGAGTTCTCAGGCTATCCAACTTAAGCTACATAGACCCACATAATCATATAACATAAACACATAACATAAACTAGCATACTACATTCCCTGGTCAACTAACCTTCCTTAGTTACCCTACCATTGACCACTTCTCAATTAAGTCATTCAATAGTCAAACATACATAATCCTGATAATTGGCCTTCCTCTTAGCCAAAAATGACTCCCAACATAATCATACAATCAATATGCAAGACCCTACC